CATTTAGAAAGGATGGATTCGAATTTTCCTAGGATACCGCCTCTTCAAACACCTTTTTAGATCAAGTCAATCAAGTGTGAATTAAATTGGCTATCAACTTTTCAGTGCAACACTTATGCCGAAGGTGGCCGCTTTAGAAGGCCTTATTTAATTAAGGCCTACAAGAGAGAATCTCGAAATTTACCGTCGAGCTCCACTATCTGTTATTTAAGGTGGAAACGGAGGTAGAACTTGCTCATTTTCTCGTAGAAACTTTCGTCACTCAGAGCGCTATTGCAGTTTTTTCAGGATGCCAGGCTCTGACACTGGCGAATACATCTTTGACGTCGATTGGCTGTCAAGAAGGCGCAATGATGGCAATGAGTGGCACAGTATTTGCACTTCCGAAAAGATCGCTTGGTTGAATTCCCTGAACGAAGTGTGTCCATAGCGGTTATGCTGAACAGCAATTGCGTTAGCCATTGCGGCTATCACGAAAACAACATGGGCTTCATTGAAAAGTTTACGAATCTAGCTACTTACAACAATTACGTAAACCATTAATATTCACATATTATTTTTCCCGGTGACAATTCTTCATAGTTCATAGATGTTTTGGTAGATTTTGGATAATGCATATGAACACAACTGTGAAAACTTTGCGCCTCGGTGGGATTCGAACCTACGCAGTAAGGAGAAAGCTTTAGTACAGACAACGCTCTAACCGCTTGAGCAACGAGGCCCCAGCGCACGACACGAGTTCAATCACATTTGGGTCGAATCCCACCGAGGCGCCGAGTTTTTACAGTTGGGTCAACGTGAATTATTCAAAATCTGCCAAAACATCTATGAATTGCGTGTGCCTAGTACTCCACTGGTGGATTTTAGGTGAAATACTTCGCAAATCGTGCTTGGGCAGTCAACTTACTGTTCGAGAATCTCCGGACTCATTACCGAGGCCGTTCTGCAAAAACTCGAGAAACGACTGTTCGGGGAATACAAACCCAAGTTTTGGGCGCGCTACGTTGATGATACCTTCGTAATCATCGATCAGGATAAAATTAGCTACTATGAAGAACTATTGAACTCAATCATCCCCGACCTACAGTTCACGATGGAAGAAGAAGTGGAGAGCAAACTTTCATTTTTGGATGTTCTCATCTACCGCCAACCAGACGGTAAACTGGCGACGTCAGTCTACAGAAAACCGACGAACACGCTGCAAATGCTCAGNTTTTCGTTCGCAAAACACAATACATCTGGAGGACGGTCCATGAGAATATACCCGGATAACGTCCGCGATGGTTGCGGCACGCTCATGTGGCGGACACAACAGAGCAAGATGCTAAGGGAATGTAGGAAACACAACGGTTACCTGAACAGTATCCACAGTACGGGCCTCCTTATCGCTAACTAGAGTAACGCGATGTGCGTTCTTGGAAACGTACTTTTGTGCTATCTGAGAAACCCAGTTCGGAAGGGTTGCGGAAAACAGCAAAGTCTGGGGCTTAGAAGACTTTTCTTCGTCGTACAGGCCGGCTAGTATTTTTTCAACGTCAGCACTGAAACCCATATCGAGCATTCTATCCACTTCGTCCAAGACAATAAGACGGACAGATTGGAGGTTTAACCTTTGGCTTTCTAATAGGTCAATCACACGGCCGGGGGCACCCACAATAACATCCACGCCATGTTTTAGGGCACGGGCTACGCTTCAATATGAAATAAAATAAACCTACTTTGAGACTGATAAGGGACTCCACCATAGACTGCGAGGACCGACAACTGGTCGGATGATATGGAATCAATGACAGTAGCAATTTGACTAGCCAATTCGCGCGTGGGCGCCAGAATAAGAGCGCGTGGTGCCCTGCCACGAATAGCGGGCACATTTTCAGATTGCAGAATTTCAACGAGAGGTATGGAGAAGGCAAGGGTCTTCCCTGAACCGGTTTCTAACAAATGTCAAAATCATTTCAATAAAACCAACTTGCGAGAGTGATGACGTCCTCCTTGTTTATGATATGCTTATATGTCTTTGCCTGAACTTCAAAAAAGCTTTCAACTCCGATGCTCTGTAGTCTCTTAGTTGTTTCCGGCGAAATGCCAAATTTTGC